AATATTTAAGTGCTAATTTATATGTGTTTATTGAAATAATAAAGTTGTCTTATCAGGGATGGAATAGATAGGGTAGAAAATCCATTGCCAACTGTTTGCCTGACTCAACCCAACTCATCGCTTGATCGGCGTCCACGTAGGCAAACAACATACCAGGGTGAAATTTATTATAGCCCGAGCCTCGGCACGAAAACATGCCATCTAAATTATTAGCATGCACAAAGTATAGTACACCCGACAATTGGCGCAGGTTAGTTAGACCAGGCTCTTTGTTGCACTGATAAAAGTCCGAGTTATTGAAATACCTGATCCCATAATAGACATGACCGGCCAGTGGGCCGGCAGTGATATTTGATTTGTCAGTTTCTATTAGGTATCCTATTTAAAAATAAATTGATCATATTAATTAAATTTTATTATAATACCACAAAGGTAACTAGCCTATTTTTACCATTGTTTATAGTAGCAGTGGTCACGACATTAATCGTTTGATTGACAATTTGATTATTTTTGTAGTGTATTTGATAGACTAGTGTCCGGTTTCGGGGAGCGGTCTGTATAATGGTATCGCACGTACGGTTCCCGTAGGTCTGGCCACTCCGCACCACATTCAGCACCTCAGGCTTGTGTTGTATGTTTGTGCAATTGTCATAGATCTCAATGGTATTCTCGACCAGCTCTATATAATTTTATTAGTTTATGGCAATAATTTAATAATTATTTTGTTTTATTTTTAATTTAATAATTTATTTCTATTACAAACCTCTGCCATGAGTTGTGTGTATGAAATCTTAATTATGAAACAAAATAATATAAATATTATTTTAATTGCGAAAATAATTATTACTTACAAATTATATATGAAGTGCAAATTAAATAATATAAGTTCATCATAAATTAATGACTAATTTAACGTAACAAAAATACTTTAAAATAATGAAACAATTGTGTAATCAATTGATATTTAACTATATAACTATTGAAGGGTAAAAATATGTTTTAATAATATTTGTAATTGTATTTTTTCTAATAAAAATTGACTATTGTTTATGAAAACAATAACCATCACATAAAACCTGCGGCAAGTTAAAAATATAAACCATGTTTATTCTTAAGTATGATGTTTATTTATAAAAAATATTTTAATTAAATTATTTCAAATCCCATATGTTATTGAGAAATGTAAAGCAAATACGACCAAAATTATCTAATAATATTACAATATTATTGTATAACTAATGTAAAACAATCCAACAATTATTTAAATATTTTTCATGATTAAATAAATCTTAACAAATAATAACTATGAAAGTTTATTTGTATAACATTTTAATAAATTTTTGTTTATTTTAGCTAATTAGTAATTACTGATACAGATAAACATTTTACTAAAAAAACTAGATTTGAACGCAATGTTATGGATTAATTATAATTCGAGAGATGTTTAACATTTAACCACAACACATATTGACTATACACCTCTACAACAGTCCGAACGTTTTCGTTCATGCAAGACAGTGAGGTCTGGAGCACAGGGACTCATAGATGGCTCGCATTCAAAAGTCGAGTCAACACT